TCAGCCACTTACTTTCCCCGCATGACCCTGACCAGGTCGCTGTCCCCCTGGGAACCTTCCTTAGCTCCTCTGTGAGCCGTGGGTAACCTGTGCTGATGGGGAGATGTGCCTGGCTTTTCCTTTTGTTGTTCCACCTGTTCTCAGAGCCCACCGTGGCTCCACCTGGGCTGCAAGGACAGGAGGGGACCTTCGCTAGGCCAGTGAGGAAGGGGTACGTGCGTTGTAGGGCCTGATCCCATTTTACTGATGGGGAGATGGAGGCGTGGGGGAGGGAGTTTGCTCAGCCTTGACTTGGTGGCAGAATAGCACCAGGTTTCACCGTCTGGCCTCTGGGACTTCTCCGCAGTCTCTCCCCCACCTCACCCCGAAGCTCCTCTCCCAAACCCACCCCAAACCCCCCACTCACCCCAAAGCTCCTCTCCCAACCCCACCCCAAACTCCCTGAAGGAGCTTCTCCTCTCCCACCACAGGTCTGAGTCCAGCCCCCTCTGCCCTGTGAGAGGTAAGGTGCCTGGAGGAAGAGGGGTCAGTGACTCAGGAACTCCATGAGGCCGCATGGAGGAGGTGGCCAGCACAGGACTGGGGCGGCCCTGGCTGTGGGGGGCAGGGGGCTGCCCACTCTGACACATGGGCATCAGAGTCCTCTACACTCCTCTTTTAAAAAAATATGTTTAAAAAGTGCGGTCAGTGTGGCTCAGTGGTTGAGCATCCACCCCTGCACCAAGAGGTCACTGGTTCGATTCTTGGTCAGGGCACATGCCCAGGTTGTGGGCTGGATCCCCCCTAGGGGGCATGCAGGAGGCGGCCAATCCATGTTCTCGCTCATCGATGTTTCTATCTGTCTCTCCCTCTCCCTTCCTCTCTCTAACAAACAAAAAAAGATCAATAAAGGGAAAAAATTTTTTTAAAAGGTTTTTATTGATTTTAGAGAGAGAGGAAGGGAGAGGGAGAGAGAGAAACAGTGATCAGCTGCGTCCTGCACTTTCCCTGCTGGGGATCTAGCTGGCAACCCAGGCACATGCCTGACGGAATCGAACTGGGGACCCTTTGGTTCATGAGAGAATGCTCAGCCAACTGAGCCACACCAGCTCAGGCTACACCCCTCTTGATGGGTTGATGGGGAGCTCATCATCTCCTGGCTCAGCCCACTTGTCTCTAGAAGGTTCTGCTAACTGATACCTGCCTACTACTTTGTCTTTCTTTCTTTCTTTCTTTCTTTCTTTCTTTCTTTCTTTCTTTCTTTCTTTCTTTCTTTCTTTCTTTCTTTCTTTTCCTCACCCAAGGACATTTTTTTTGCATTCATCTTCAGATAGAGAAAGAGGGAGGGGGGGGGGGAGAGAGAGAGAGAGAAACATTGACGTGAGAGAGACACATCGAGTGCTTGCCACCCACGTGACCCCAACCGGGGCCGGGGACAAACTGCAATCAAGGTCCGTGCCCTTAGCGGGAACTGAACCCAGGACTCTCCGGTCTGCAGGCCGACACTCTAACCACTGAGCCAAACCGGCCAGAGCTGCATTTACTTTTTAAATAGTTTTTATTGATTTTTTTAGAGAGAAAAGAAGGGAGAGAGAGATAGAAACGTCGATGTGAGAGAGAAACATCGATCAGCTGCCTCCTGCATGCCCCCTATTGGGGATCGAGCCCCCAACCCGAGCATGTGCCATGATGGGGAATCGAACCAGGACCTCTCAGTCCATGGCAGGACATTCAGTGCACTGAGCCACACTGGCTGGACCCTGCCTCCTACTTTGGCGTTTGCTGTGCATGCTGGGGCCTGAGGGATCCAGCCTGCTCTTGACGGGAAGGGTAGCCACTTCCCCCCAGGGCTTGTCTCCTCCAACCTCAGAAGTCCAATTTGAGGCCTGTGGATGGGAAACAGTTCAAGTCCAGCTCCACCCCTGAGTGGCTGTGTGGCCTTGGGCAGCCTTTTCACCTCTCTGAGCCATAAGGGTGGGCTTGTGCCCTTGCATCTGCTAGGAGTTGCTGGGAAGATCCCGTGAGTCTGTGTAGCGTGGCCTGTTGTCGCCATGAACCTCTGTGTGGCCCGACCACTCAGTGGCAACTCCTGGCAGAATTCCAGGTTTCCAGCCCCCACACTCCCCAGCCGTCACCTTCAGACATTGCTTGTCTGGCTGTCTTGGGTGTCAGCACCCAGCCTTTGTGCTGCGTCCTTCCTTGTAACCTCTCAGCCCTCCTGACCTCCTTGGGGGGAAGGGAGGAGGGCTGGCTGAGCGCCAGCGCCAGGCCCTGCAGCTGCAGATCCTGAGGCCACCTGACCTTGGAAAGAGCTTCTCTCTGGCTGGGTTTCAGCGCCGTCCCCTAGACATGGGGCAACAGACAGGGAAGCGGGAACAGGATGGGGTATGTGGGCCATGGCCTCATGCTGGAGCTGGCCTGGGTTCCTGAGCTGACAGGCCAGGAGACCGAGGGGATGGACAGCTAGCCATGGAGAGAGTTACAGTTACCGGCTAAAGTGATTGCATGGTAGAGCCTCCCTCCCCACACTCTGGTGGTCTGCTTGAGGAGGGAGTGAGCTACCTGCCACTGGAGGTGTGCAAGCAACTGCTGAGTAGCATCTGTTAGGGGAGCAGCAGCAGGTTTCAACACAGGTTCAGGGAAAGGGGTTGGACCCAGAACCTAGAGTTCCTGTTGTTTGGGCCACAACATAGCAGTCCTGTGACCCTAAGGATCTAACAGTCTGTTCCGAGTATCCCCCATGACCTCCAACAACTCCTCCCATGGTTGTGCTCCCCAAAAGCCCATGTTCCAAACACGGTCAATCACAGCTTCAAGACAAGCCCTAGATTTCAACTCACTCACAGCTCCTAAACGCTCCACGGACCTCTCAGTCCAGGGGACTGAAGCTCAATCCACTGAGCCACACTGTCTTTTAAACTGCATTCAGGTCTGCCCTGGCTGGTGTGGCTCAGTTGGTTGACTATGGTCCAGTGCACCAAAAGGTCTCAGGTTCGACTCCCAGTCAGGGCATAAGCTCCGGTTTCGTCCAGGTTGGGGTGAGTATGGGAGGCAACCAATTGATGTCTTTCACCACAATGTTCCTCTCTCTCTCTCTAAAGAATCAATAAAAACATATTGAAAATAATAAAAATCAGTGAAAACATATTTAAATAAATAAATAGATTGCACACAGGTCCTGATCCCATCAGTGGTTGTGAAATTGATTTAGTAAGTTCACTACTTATTTTTTAAAAAGAAAATAGCAAGCACTTTGCATGTAGTGAGGGTAAGTATTATTTTGTGATGCTTTGGTTTTAGCTTTTAAAATATACATTGTACCCTGGCTGGTTTGGCTCAGTGGTTAGAGCGTGGGCCCGTGGACCAGAGAGAGTCCCTGGTTTGGTTCCTGCTAAGGGCACGTACCTCGGTTGCAGTGTGGGTGACATCCAGTTGATGTGTCTCGCATCGATGTTTCTCTCTCTCTCTTCCTCTCTCCCTCCCTCCTTCTATCTGAAGAAAAATGCAAAAAATATATATATAGATATAGATACAAATACACACACACCCATTGTGTAATGAGCAGCAATGTACAATGTGTTTGTTTTTACTCTGCGTCTTGGTCAAAAGGGTTGAAAGCTGCTACTCTGTGTAGAAATCCTGGGGGCGCCACTGACAGGGGCTTGGGTGTGCATATTCCTTTTTTCCGGGACGCTCGGTTCCTCAGCTGAGGATTCTAGGATGCTGCTCTTCTGTCTCAGACCTTCCATCCCTTGCCCAGTAGCCCACTTAGCTCCAGGCCCTGAGCCTGCTGTCAACCACCCACCCCAGGGCCTCAGTCCTGCTCTCTGCCCACCCTGCTCCCTGCTTACCCCACATCTTCTTGGGGACCTTCTCCCAGGGGTGGGAGACGTCTGGCTCGTGGGCCAAATGAGACCCATGAAGTCAATACCAGCTAACATCACACACCTCACCAAATTAGCCTGACCAAATATAGCAGTTGATAATTTTGTATGGCCCTTGAATGATGTTATAAATATCCAAATGGCCCTTGGCAGAAAAAGGCTCCCCACCCCTGCAAGCCCTCTGGTTGTGAGACCTTTGTCTCCCGTCCTGTCCTCACGTGCTCACACACAGAGCTCCGCAAAGCAGGGCCGAGTCTTCCTTACTTCTCTTCCCCCAGCACATAGTAGGTGCTCAGTAAGCGTTCATGCATTCCACGGTGACTTAGAGAGGCCTCTGAGACACACCAGGCAGGAGGGCAGACGCCGCTGCAGCTCAGCCTATGTGTAGGGTGATGAATGAAGGAAGGAAGGAGGGATGAATGGTATCTGAGAGCCTCTGGGCAAATGGTCAGAGATGATGAGTAGGTGTCTAGCACTTTGCCTGAGCGTAGTAGGCATTCTGATAGTGAGTCACTCATGGCTGTGGATGAGCTGGACTGTTGGGGTAGGAGTCGGGGCTGAGTGTTCCTTCCTCTGTCTCTGACCCTTCACCTCACTTGGCCCTGCACACATTTCCCCCCACCAGTCCTTGGAGCTTATCATTTGGGCCTAGGACACTAGGTATGAAGCCAGGATGCCCTGATCACCCCCTAGGAGGACACCTGAGGGACACCAGAGGAGAAGCCAGTGGTCTGTGGGAGGGTGAGGCAGAGGCCTGAGGCCTCAGATGTCCTGCCCCCACTCCAGCGTCACAGAAGGTCTCCTTCTGGTCTCCACTCAGAGGCCACCTTTGTGGGGAGGTTCTCCCTGACTATGGTGACAAAAATAGCTCCTGCTTGGTCACGTTGTGTCACATCACCTGCTTGGGTCCTTTATGGGAATTATGATGGGCTGAAATTATCTTGTTTCTTTGTCAGTCATCAGATGTTTATAAAGCGTCTGGGGCTCAGGGGTGAGGCAGAGAGTCAAGGTCCCTGCACTTAAGGAGATTGCGAGATAAAGGGGACGCGCGCTGTGGGAGGTGAGGACGCAGACAAAGGGACAGTGCCTGGGGTCTCTGGGAGGAGGCAGCCTTTGAGTCAAGACCTGACTGTCCCGGAGAATTTCAGCCAGAGGGACAGCCAGTGTATAGAACCAGAGATAGGAATAAACCTGGTGTGTTCAAGGGACAAGAAGAAAGGCCCACGCGGTGGGGTGGGGAGTGGAGTTGAGGTCAGAGGGCAGGAAAGCCTCTGAGCTCTAAGCTGAGGAGTGCCGTGGGTCCTCAGCCCGTGGTCCCCAGCCCGTATGGGTCCTCAGCCTGTGGTCCCCAGCCTGTGTGGGTCCTCAGCCCATGGGTCCTCAGCCCGTGGTCCTCAGCCCGTGGTCCCCAGCCCGTGTGGGTCCTCAGCCCGTGGTCCCCAGCCCGTGTGGGTCCTCAGCCCGTGGTCCCCAGCCCGTGTGGGTCCTCAGCCCGTGGTCCCCAGCCCGTGTGGGTCCTCAGCCCATGGGTCCTCAGCCCGTGGTCCTCAGCCCGTGGTCCCCAGCCCGTGTGGGTCCTCAGCCCGTGGTCCCCAGCCCGTGTGGGTCCTCAGCCCGTGGTCCCCAGCCCGTGTGGGTCCTCAGCCCGTGGTCCCCAGCCCGTGTGGGTCCTCAGCCCGTGGTCCCCAGCCCGTGTGGGTCCTCAGCCTGTGTGGGTCCTCAGCCCGTGGTCCCCAGCCCGTGTGGGTCCTCAACCTGTGGTCCTCAGCCCGTGTGGGTCCTCAGCCCATGGGTCCTCAGCCCGTGGTCCTCAGCCCGTGGTCCCCAGCCCGTGTGGGTCCTCAGCCCGTGGTCCTCAGCCCATGGTCCTCAGCCCGTGGTCCTCAGCCCGTGGAGATGAGCCTGCAGGGGGAGGAGGCAGGGCAGTGCGGGGAGAGGCTATGGAGCTGTCGGTAGTGATGGGGTTGGGAGGCAGCAGGGAGCACTCTGCAGGCTGTGTGGGCTAGGTGTGCAGCCAGCATCCAGGTCCCCGTCCTGAGGTTTCTCCTCCTTGGGGGAGCTCCTGAACCCCCGGCAGGGATGAAAATAACAGCACCCCCCTCCATGGTGTCATGGGGATCAAAGGAGGGGCCGGGGCTTGGCCCACAGCAAACACTAAATGTTATACCACTATTGGCTTTGGAGAGGGTTGAAGGGTGCCGCCCAGGCATTAGGGCTGAGTGGACCCCCTGGGAGATCACAGACTGAGGCGGAGAAGGCAGGTGAGGGACGGTCAGTCTTTGTGATGATGAGTTTGGGGTGCCTCTTAGACGTCCAGCAGATGCTGGGAGCAGGAGCCCAGTTTGCTTGTCACTGCTTGGGAGGGTGACAGGGGCCAGGTGGTATTTTCAGCCAAGGTGATCCTGGGCACTGCACGGGTGTGTACACAGAGGCTGGAGGAGGGCGGGTAAGGAGGGCAGGTAAGAAGGGCAACCAGAGAGGGGCTTTCAGGCCTGGGCGACTCACAGCGGAAGGCAAGGGCCAGCCAGGGCCTCCATCAGAGCTGCTGGGGGGGCAGTGGGCTCAGAGGAACCCGGGGGGGGACTGTGGGGAAGATGGGAGGTGACATTAAGTCGTCCTCTTCAAGAAGGGCTTCTGCACTTGACAGTTTATAAACCCTCGCCCTCTAATACCACTGTGCATCTTTTAGCATGCCTATGCAGTGAGTGTTATTCCTCCCCATTTATGGATGTGACTCAGAGAGGTGAAGGCATTTCCCACAGCCCCACGGCACAGGAGTGAAGCGTCTTCAAGCTTTCTGGGACCACAGTCCCTTTTGAGGACCTTATGAACGCTCTGATCCTTCTGAGAAAATTACACATATGTACATACTAATTTTAAAACTTTCTATGTGTCTTTTGTTTTTTTCTGTAGGTGATACATTCATACGGTTCTAAAATTAAAAAGACACAATGGGAATACAGTGCGAATTCTTCCTCCCACCCATCCCCAGCCACCTGCCTTCCCTCCCCCGAGGCAGCCAGTGGCCCCAGTCTCCTGGGTCTCCATCCGTAGACAAGCGCAGACAAGCAAATATGTGTATCTAAAAATTCTTTCTCTCCTTTTTGTACAAACGGTAGATACTATACTTGGTATTCATCACTGTTGCCTTTTTTCACTTAAAACACGTCTTGAAGACCACATCCCTCCTTCCAGGGCTCCCTCCTCCTTTTTTCTGGCTGCGTGGTGAGCCATGTAGGAATGGGTGGCAGGCTGCTGCCGGCTGGGCTGGGCAAGCAGGTTCCTGGCTCCCTGTGGGCGTGACTGTCTGCAGGCTGAGGGCCCAGGAGCATACACAGGTGTCACAGGCAATTCCATGGCTCTCCAAAGCCACCCAGGGCCTCCCAGGGCCACCCAGGGCCACCCAGAGCAAGGGATGGAGCGAGCCTGGCACTTGGCTCTGACTCCCTTTCCCCATCCTCCCCCTTCCCCACACCTCTTCTTCCATTCATCCTCCTGGGAATCCTGTGTGCGTGGGAATGAGGGGCGGCGCCCCCACTCCCCAGAGCTCTAGGAGACCCTCCCCCCACCAGCTGCCCCGGGGATGTGTTTGCTGAGAGACCAAGAACAGGGTAAGGGGAAATGATTTCCACGCCCATCCCCACCCCTGGCTGGGATGCAGGGATGGGGATGGCAGTCCTTGGCTGTGTGGCGGCCACCACAGCTGCCCCTGCCCCAGCACCTCCCCTTCCCCTCGGCTCAGGAGGAATCTCAACCATTTTGGCCAGGGAGGGAGGGCATCCAAATAGAGTGGGGAGGTGGGGCTGCTGGCTTCCGGTGGTCTGGGCTGGGCAGGGCCAGCTGGGCAGCTCTGCGGGAACTCCCTTTTCCCTGGCTCCAGGCTGCTGTCCCCGCTGGTTGCTCGGGCCCAGCCTCCCTCTGCCGCATCAGTCTCCTGGGTGCAGGAGGTCCGGGTCTGGGTCTGGGTCTGGGTCTGGGTCGTCCCTTCTCACCCAGCATTCTTGCCCAGGCGATCTTGTCCACCTTCACAGCTTAAAATACCACCCAGGGGTCAAGATCAAACCGGTCCAACTCCGCCCAGACCTGGGGTCTGACGTGCCGGCACCTCCAGCAGGACAACCCAAGGCCACTGCATACTAGAAAGTGTCACTCCTTGACCCTGGCCCTCTTTCCCTGTCCACTGTTACCTATTCCTGTCACCCCTCTTCCCAACTTCCCCATCCAATCCACCCCCACTCCAGCTCTTTGTCCAGAAGTGTCCCCAAATTGCTTACTTCTCTCAAGCTCTCCTGCTACCGCCTGGCAGCTCCAGGCCACCGTCACCACCTGCCCTGCCCGGGCAGCAGGAGTCCCCCCCCCCCCCCCCCCCCCCCCCCCGCCCCTGGTTGCCCTGCGCCCCGCCCGGCGTCCGCCGCCGGATTCCAGTGTGCGCACCACACGGACAGACGGACGGTGGAGCCCCCAGCCCCACAGGGCAGGGCTGCCACTGGGCCTGGACGGAGGGTGTTTTCTTTCTTCACTTCAGCCTGGTAGCAGACACACAGGGGTTTGCTGTACTCCTGCTTGTCCCGAAGATTCCCCACGAAAGTGTAAAGACCAGACCAGGTGAAACCAGGTGCCTGTCGCCCCCCACCTTGAGGATGAGGTCCAATCCTGGGGCTCCTCCCGGGCAGCTCCCTCCTGCTCACCTCACTCCTGCCGCCTGGCCTTGCTGCAGGTCCTCAACACCCAGACTCTTTCCGGAATGTTCTCACTCCACCGATCACACAGACACACGATCCTCATGAACTCCACTCCCACGTATTACTCAGGTCTCGGTTTAAATGCCACTTTCTCAAAGAGCCCTTTGGGAACCCCGCCAAACTAGCACCCCTCTTCTCCCTCACACCACGCCAGGCTCCTTCGGGGCTCAGAAACGGTGACTGCCGCCTCTGCTCGTGTGGAGAGCTCTCCCCAGCTGATCCACTCGCTGGGTGAGTCCGCGGCCCCTGTGACCCGCAGCCAGTGTGCGATAAACAGTCACGGAGGGAGTGACTTCGAGGACGAGCCACCGCAAGGTGGTGGGGAGAGAATCTCATGGCTAGTGACAGAGGAGGGCTCCGGAAGAGAGAAGCCTCCGGAGCCATGTAGGGAGGAGGGGCACAGTGTTTGGGGTGGCCCTTTGGTGGTGGGACAGTTGAGCCAGTAGGAGGGGCTCCTGCAGGGGTGGTGAGTTCTCCAGCAGGGCCGGGGCCAGGGGTCAGTAACGTAAGCAAGGGCACACTTGCAGGTTCGAGCAGTGGCCCTCAAGTCCTCCAGCCCCCAGCTCCTGCCACTGTGGACCTTCTGGGGAACTTGCTTTCCAAGCCTGTTCACCTGCGGCTGACTGGCTGGGAGAGAGGTGGGGTGCAGAGCTGGAGGAAGGAGCTGGTTCACCTCACTGCCCAGAGCCCCTGTGGAACCGAGTCGCCCGTGTGTCTAGGCTCTGGCTGGACCTGCAATCAGAGACCTGGGTCCTGGCTCCCACTCCCGATGACCCAGTTTCTGCTTTCCCAACCTGCACACAGTGGGGCTTGATGGATGTTTACTAAGTTGGCCCAGCCGGTGTCGCTCAGTGGACTGAGAGTTGTCCCATGGACGAGAGGTCCCAGTTCGATGATCGATCCCCAGTAGCGGGTGTGCAGGAGGCAGCCGATCGCTGTTTCTCACATCCATGTTTCTATCTCTCTCTCTCCCTTCCCCTCTCTCTAAAAAATCAATAAAAACATATTTAAAAAAATGTTTACTAAGCCGGAGAAACGTGTGATGTGACAATGTTTCTTTGAGGCAGGAGGACAGAATGTCTGGTATTGACCGCTGGGTCCAAAGCCTGACTCTACCTCTGTGGCTGTGTGAACCTGGGCAATTTGCTGAACCTCTCTGTGTCTTGGTTTTCTTACTTCTAATGTAGGGATGGTAATGGTGGCGTCCTCTGAGGTCACGGTGAGGATGACAGGAATTGATCCTAGTGAAGCACTCGGAGCAGTGTCCGCACAGAGGAAGTGTGTGCTCAGTGCTCCGGTGGCTTGTGCAATGTCATACCGTTGGCCAGCGGGAGGGGCTGGGTGTGCGGTGGGATGTCAGCGTTCAGAAGAAGGTGTGGGAGACAAGCAGCATTAATTGAGCACCAACTGTGTGGCCTGCACTTTTAGGACAATTGACAATCTGCGTCTGGC